GGGTAAAAAAGAAAGCAAAGTAACTGTATGTGCAAGCTTGCAAAATAAAATGCACAGATATGATTTCTAGATAATGAAATAGAAAATCACTTTGAAAATTAAAGTGTGCTTCTCAAAGAAATAATAAACCTAGTAAGGAGCTAAGTTTAGAATGGGAAAATTATAAAAATAAAATATGTGAAATACTTCTGTTCTTTAGACAAACAAATAGTTGCCATATTCACTAATCAGCGTTCACTTATGACACCAAGTAGTGGTTTTGTAAGCTTGCTTACTGATGCAATATAATATTTGACTTCTGTCTCTCACCAAGATAATGTCGCTTCTCAGAACTTGGTTGGTGCCCCTTGTGAATCGGTCCCTATGTGTGCAGCTGGTTCTGCATACTCTTATAGTAAGACATTCCTATATTATATGAGCTTATTTCTCATTATGCATAATTTGGTTGACGAGGAACTTTGAGAATAAATTATGGTTCCATAGATAGCATGGTATATGTTACACTCTGGTTTGCATATATTAAGAAAAAAGTCTTAAAGATAGTTACGACTCAGAAAACTATATATTGATTTTAAGAAAACTGAGGTAGAGTATACATCACATAGTAAGGGGAAAGTAATATGAAAACAAAATTAAATTATGATAGTTTAGAAATTAGCACATGTAGGAAATTGACAGTTTGACTTATGTCAGTGTGGTATAGAAAAGATATTTTCAATATACCATGTCATCATCTGGAGCAGCTCTCTCAGCAGTATGTGATGGATGATGTTATCAATTTGGAGGCTGTGAGGTCAATAGAAAGTGAGGGCTATAATTCTTGCAAAGCAGTTTTTAGTGTAGCAAGGGTCTGAGGAGTAGCAATACATCTTTTAGAGCACAGGTTCTGAAGTTTGAAATTTTGGGCTGCAAAAATAAGAATTAAAAACATGTGTTCCAAAAAGAGTGTTGTTTTGCATTCATTTTGAACGTTCATTTCAATCTTTTGTATAACTGTTGTATCACCAACAATAATATACCATGAGAGGTACCTGTATCATAGTTTGAAAAACTCTGTCCTAGAGCATCCCAAACATGATTAATAGAAGTTAGGTCCAGAAATCAAGCTGGCCACTCCACTAAATAGTTTGCAGCTGAGGATAATCTTCCACAATACAAGCCTTGTGTGGTCTCATTAATATCTTGTTGGATAAAATTATCACCTATTTCAGTGGCATCGAGTATGTCCTCTTTATAGATTTGAGTTGTAGCAGTTCCACATGGTGGTCTGCGACTTGAAGGGATTTCATCCCAAGCACAAATACTTCATACTTTGTTAGAATCTTTATCATTGATGCTTCACAGATCATACTGAGTTTTCCAAATAAAACATCTACTCTGTCTTTGAAGGCTAAACCTGGACTCATTCAGGTAGGAAACAGCTCTCCATTGATCAGCCATCTAGTAGATACACTGGTGTGCCAAAATTAAGGACGAAGTCGAAACATTAGCATATCAGCTGAACAAAGAGGCAGAGCGGACAGAAAGACCAATCAGGAGATTAAGTAAGGTGATGTACGGTAGCCCATGCGCAGATATGCGGGTAGACGTAATGGGGGAGTGTCTGAGTAGTATAAAGCATGTTGTCAGTGTAAGATCAGTATTTCTCGCAAAGAGATTGCACGACGTATAGCAGTTAAAATCACACTGAGTTGCTGCCTCAGCGAGAAATGGTGAATAATCAATCTGTTAGACGACATCTGGATGCTTTTACCCGAGGTCAAATCATTGGGAAGTTGGAGGAAGGCCGCAGTGTGACAAGTGTGGCTGCAGAGTTCGGAATTGCTCACAGCATCGTTTCACGACTTTGGAGACAATTTCAAACTACAGGAACAGCTATCCGGGGGGTTAGTAGTGGTCGTCCACGAGGAACCACACCTGCAGATGACCGGTATATTGCCTTACAGGCCAGAAGAAACAGGCGGCAGACAGCAGGAGAAATAGCTAGACATATGACACAGGCGACTGGATGACCGATATCATGTTTTACCGTGGCCAGAAGACTGCACGGTGGTGGTCTGTTTGCACGACGCCCTGTACGGTGTGTACCTCTAACAACTGCCCATCGGAGAAGGCGTTCTCTGTGGTGCCGGGAACACCGGAACTGGAGAGACAATGAATGGGGACGAGTACTCTTTACAGATGAGAGCATATTCAGTCTGAGTAGCGATTCTCATCGCATACTCATCTGGAGAGAGCGGGGAAGCCGCAATCATCCCTCGAACATCATTGAAAGGGACAGGTATGGAGGTGGTGGTGCTCTCGTTTGGGGAGGCTTCATGCTTGGTAGTCGTACAGATCTTCACATCTTCGATGCAGGTTCAGTTAATGGCACCCGTTATTGTAACGAGATTCTTCTTCCATATGTGCGTCTTTTAAGAGACGCTATGGGTCTGCAGTTCCTTTTCATGGACGACAATGCACCATGTCATCGCACAGTAGCTGCCGAACAGCTCTTAGAGAGTGAGGATATTGAACGTATGGATTGACCGGCACGATCTCCGGATCTCAATCCCATCGAGCATGTATGGGATTTTCTAGGCAGAGGCTTGGCAGCTCGTACCTTACCACCAGTAACAATTCCGGAGCTTCGATTGGCGCTGCAAGACGAATGGGCAGCAATGCCTCAACAACTCATTGACAACCTCATTCTCAGCATGGGCAGATGCTGTGAAACCTGCCTAGCAGTCAGGGGAGGTCATATCCCCTATTAAAGACCGGATGTTTCTTGCTGGACACCCATCACAGGGATGTTTCGGCCTTCAGTCGCATTGCACTCCATGCTACTTTTTCAATAAAGCTTCTTTTTATCCCTCTGATTTCTCTTTTAGTAAGTGTTGCTTACATTACTCATGTCCTTACGTATTGGGGATCGTACGATATTAAATGTGTTGATTTGGAAAAGCTTTTGTACAAAGTTATATTGAAAAAAACCGTCTCGTCCTTAATTTTTGCACACCAGTGTATATTGATGTGCTCACCTCAAGCATTCCCTCCTGTGGTGCAGAGTGAGTAGCACATGGGTAGACCTTGAGTTCGGACCACCTTGGTAAAGCCTCCTGCCCCAAGTAGATGTTGACATCATTCTTCTGATGATTCCAACAAGGGAAGACCTATGTTAGATTGAGGTTGAGGTTCTCATCTCAGTGGAACGCTGCAAACACAAGAGTGCCTGTGCATGAGGCAGTGTTCGTATCGAATGAGAATTTTTATTGCAAATTTTATTCTATTCACTAGAATATTCATAGACTGAAGTTCTTTAAAAGTTCTAAAGCAGTTCATTAGGCACAAATATCTAAATAGCAGAATATCTACATAGCAAAGTAAACATTAGTAGAAGGCAAAGAGAGAATAAATATTGCTACCTATTAAATTATATTTATATTCAGAATTGTCCCTGGGAGTTTTAACATTGCTTACATTGTGTATGTCATAATTATATACTTTAATGTATCCGTTTTCAGTTAAACGGGGTTACTCATGGAATTGTTTAGCCAATTTATTATTTGCTTTTCAGAGTGGAACAGCTTTCAGCTCATTATGTATTTTATTCAAGATGCATTATAAATTTGCCATAAAACAGTATTTTGAGCAGTCTATTTTTGATTAATACAGCAGGAGTATGCCCAGATGGGGCAGGCATAACTTAACATGGAAGGTAAAATGATTTTGTAAATGAGTAATTTGTTTTCTCTAGATGGAATGGTGCTCTGAGCAATTAGAGGGAAGAGTCTCACCTTACACGCTCAAAATGGCTGAATAATAGGTGTTATGTATGGGGTCGATGTAGAAGTATTTGTGAGCATCATCCCAAGATTGGAGAATAGTTGCAGTTCCATTCTTTCATATGCATAAACATAAATGTTGATCATCAGCATTCAGTATAACACTTGGCCGTCATAGGCTGAACTTCGTGAATGTAAATTTGAGGTTCGAAAATTGTTGGAAAGTCTATGAACTACGACCTGCTTCTAAGCTTTCAATGGCTCTCCGCTGTTGTTCTACAGGTAAATTTATGTATTTACATGTATGTACATGCATTTTTGTACTACTCACGGGTGATGCTTCCGAAATGCAGTGCCATTGTTTTGCATATTGCAATATTCTACCTCAGATTTGATATCAGTAGGTTATTTTTGAAAAAGTTATTGCTATTTTTGTAATTTTTCCTGAATTCATGGAAACCTGTGTAAGCACGCTTGTAGTGCGTACTGCTTTTTTTTTTTTTTTTTTTTTTTTTTTTTTTTTTTTTTTTTTTTTTAAGTAAAGTAGGAAATAATAAGGGACTAAATCAGTGGTTCTCAACATTTTTTGCTCCATACACCTTTGTTTTACTGTTGTTAGATAATCATCCCCCTTCCTTTCAGAACTCAAAAAATACATATGCATTTATTTAAATTTATATTATTTCAATGTGTTTTATAAATTAAACAAGAAAAAGTATAGAAGAGGTTGATAAATACCAAAACCTGCAAATGAGTGCTGTCTAATATTCATAAACTAAACTAAATATTTAACAAATAAAGAACAGGCTGACAGTATTCCCCTTCTGAAACTATAAAATCAAACCAGGAGTAATTACTCCCTGGTAAGAATCCTGGGCTAAATGGAAGTTATGTTATCTGTCATGAATTTGATATTCAGTTTTTTCCCCTTAATAATTACTGTGCTCTTTTTCATTTTTAATGAAGTATGTTTTGAAATTGCAAATGTCTGCATATCTGTTAGAATGAATGCTTTAATTTAATTTTGATTTAGTAAGAAGGTAAATGCACTGTTCTTAAGAGATTGTAATTCATGTGCTAATAATATGATCCTTGTATTTTCTGAGGAAGTCTGTTTTTGGCATTTATGGCATTTCAGATACTACAAGGCAAGAAAAAGAATATAATTAATAATAAATTATGTTTAAAAAATGTGCAACAAAGTAAGTGTTACCTGTTTTTTAAATATTTTTTATATCAGTAATAGATATCTTTTTTAAAGGTTCTCCTTGTGATACTCCTGATTCATCTCTAGCAAGTGCTAATGTTCATTTCTGCAATTCCAAAATCAGTGATATGGGATCTACTTCCTGTCCGACTTTTATTGATGTGCATTCATCCCTCCATATGCTTAATCCAGATACTCCAGCATTTCAACCATTGCCTACAAAATCATCTCAAGTTCTGTCTACATCTTCATCCTATCAAGCATTAACTACAACTAGTCTGTTATGTTCGGAAAATTGTGGCTCATCACTATCACCTGCTATTCTTGGTGTCATTCCAACTGCTGTTGCAAATGTACCTTCAACTAAGTTGAAACTAAATAATAAATGTCTAGCAAAGCAATCTGCCCAAAATTCTCCTTGTCTTTCTTCTCAGGAAGCTGCAGTATCAACGTCTCTGCCATGTTTACAATCTATAAGCCATGTCATGAATGCTGTGCATTGCCAAGAAATTCCGTCACCATACAAGCCCGTTCTGAAACCTCAGGTACTAATTAAACATATTGCTATACAGTAATGTATTAATTTACCACTAATTTTATTAATTTATTTTGCTCTGTCATTAATCATTAATTTTGAATCCCCCTTTCTAAGTTATGCAATTTTCTAAATTTGAAAAGATTTGATTGCAATTTAAGGAATGGTATCTGAAGGTGCTTTAATGAAAGGAGGAAAAAAAAAGAGGTGAAATATATGATTCCCTTATAGAGACCCTCAGGTTTGTCAAAGCAGGAAAGGTGAAAAATGTGCATTACCCTCACCAGGCTTCAAACTGCAGACCTCCCGATTGCCAGCCAGATGTTCTTCCGGTTATACCACACAGACATGTGTTAAGAAGGGATAAAATACTTTACAACCTGCCAGCTGCTTGCTAAGAATGCAACTAAAAATGATATTAATGTTGATGTAAATATTCCAAAATCCAAAAAATATTCAAAGCTAAAATGATTGAGCAGTGGAACTTTTAATATATCTCTTCTGATAAGGGATCTGTACAAAAACTTCTTCCCAACTATTTTGAAAGATGAAAATAGGACTGTTGCTTAATTTTAAAGTTATGCAATTTTTGTCTGGACATAGTACACTGGTGTGCAAAACTTAAGCAACAGGTGTTCTTTTTGACATAAATCCACGAGATATCATCTGAGAGACATGAAATTCAGAAATAAGAGACAGCATTTTGTATTTAAACGATGACGAAAGCATAATTGCGCAAAAATGAATACAATGCATACAGTATGGAATTAAACAAAAAACAGGCTTTATTGAACTCATAGTATCGTTACACATGATTGTCTGTATAAGAGGAAGAACAACAAGCAGATGTTCCTTAGTATGGGATATGCCCTCCCTTACTGCAATGGTTGCTTCTCACCGTCTCCCCACACTCAGCACCAGATTGTCCAACAGATCTTGAGGTGAGAGTGCCCATTCCTCAATCAGCATCTGTTTCAGTTGTTGGGTGTTCGCCGGAGGATGTAATCGTGCCTCAAGGCGTCTCCCCAAAGCATCCCATACATGTTCTATGGGATTTAAATCAGGGGAGTACGCTGGCCAATCCATTCGAGTGATATCTTCACTTTTCAGTAGCTTCTGAACAGCAGGCTCCGGAGTCCGGTGTGGCCGTGCATTGTCATCCATAAAAACGAAGTCTGGTCCAATTGCACCTCGGAACAGACGCACATAGGGAAGGATCACCTCCTGACAATAGCGATCTCCGGTTACAGAACTTCTGTCGAAAACGTGGAGCTCTGTCCGCCCGTTCAGCATAATGCCTCCCCAGACGAGATCTCCAGGACACCGTAATGGTCTCTTTCCGTGATGTTACTGAGATTAAACCGTGTCCTTACCTCTCTCCAAATAAGTTGGCGTTGAGAATCGCTTGGGGCACTAAAACGACTCTCATCCGTAAGGAGGATACGACTCCATTGATGAGATGCCTAGTTTTTGCGCTCCTTGCACCACTCTAAACGGTGGCGCCGATGGCCAACTTTCAAAGGGATGCAGCGTTCAGGACGGCGGGCGAATAGGCCATCTTTGTGAAGGTGTCTGGACACAGTAAACCACGACAATTGTCGCCGGTTGCTGTACACAGTTGCTGAGCTGTGGAGCTTGCTGACTGGTTTTGGGCTCTTTTCGCCTGTAGGACGATATATCGGTTATCTGCTGCAGTTGTTGTCCTGGAGCGGCCACCACCAACCTTTCTAATAGCTGTACCTATGGTTTGGAAGGCTTTCCAAGCCCGCGAAACGACACTTTTGTTGACTTCGAAATCTTCAGCCACTTTGGTCACACTACGCCCCTCCTCCAGCTTTCCGATCATTCTTCCACTCGTGAAGTCATCCAGATGATTTCTTCTAGCCATATTTCACGAAAGATTTCACTTGTACTTACAGCGAATGTCTTTAATTGCGTCTCCGTCCTTCCTTTTATGGTAGTCTCGAGTGGAGCGCATGCGTTTTGCGTACGATCACGTAGCCTGTGATTTTTTTTCCTGACATTTGCATATGCATGACCTTTCTACTGAATTGCGTGTTCATTGTACTGATAGCAAGAACCCTTTTCTGCAACTGCATGGTTATCTGATTAAAATTTGCATTGTTGCTTAAGTTTTGCACACCAGTGTAAGTGTAATTATCTGAACTGTTAAGCTGAGTCTTCATTGTGTTATTGCACTAAGTTAGAAGTGTTTCCACTTGCTTTTGATGCTGGCTGATAAAGCAAGAAATCTATGAAATGAGATAAATTAATTGGAATCATTGGGCCCAATGTGTGATTGTATCTTAAGTTCAGCCTACGAGCTTCGACGATTTTGTTGACTTTTACTTTAAACATTGTAAATGATTTCTTTATACATTTTTATACTTATTTTTGTGTGTGTGTGTATGATTTTACTGTATTATTGAAAATTGATGTTATTATTTACAATTTTGCTTTTTTTTTACTTACAATTTGTAAGTCTCATGTGATACGTTGTGATGCACGAGGATTTCTTTTTCTTTAAATAATAAAAAAAAGCCTTCCAACTCTGTGTAAAATGAAAATTACATACTTGAACTTTGAGACTTTATGTTTTGGCTTTTAATTTCAACTATATAAAATCCCTCCATTAAACAAAAAACTTAGATTTTGTACTATAAACTTATAAAGTAAAACATGTAACTAGTTAGTTGGAACCTTTATTATAGTTTGTTAAAATTTAAACTGTAAGGAATGAATGGCATTTATCTTTTATGCTTTTCTGATGTAATAATCAGCGCATCAGTCAAGTAAATCAGAAGTCTCGAGTTCAGCTGTGGGAAAAATTTTGGACTATATTGGACCATTCTAATTCTGCAATTTTTTAAATTGGGATTAAACACTTTCTTCTGTTTATTTTGTTACTGCTGGCAATAAATGATCTTGACTGAAGCTGATGTTTAAATTTGGTCTCTTCTGCTCATAGTGTAGTATTCTAACATGTGTCATGGGATAATTTTTGTTTGTATGTCTAACCAACAGTGGAAAACACAGGAGTTCATTTTTATCATATTATGCTCTTTTATTTTAATAAAATAAAAAATCCCAGTCAGACTGCTTAAAACATTTGTGTTGTATATTAATAAAATGTTGTTTCTGATGACTTGGTTCATAGATGATTTGTGAAGTATAGAAATTTCAGCTTTGAAAAGAATGCTCGCTCTAAACGATCATCCTCTGTAAACAAGGACCTATTAAAAGAAGCTCTCACTGAAAATCTACTTAAAGATTTCTCTTAATGGACTTCTGTGACAGACAAAATATAGTACATGATCATTTGGAGGAAATTTGATATTTAAGTCGTTATGATGTATGGCTATACCATTTTTTAACAGAGCAGAATATGCTTGCTCGAGTTTTTGGCATGTGATTCTTTGCTGAAATTGAAAAGAAATAAAGAAGCTACTTTTTGAAGTAGCTTATCACTGAAGATGAGAAGTGGATCCTATGTAATGATGTTATGAGAAAAAGAGTATAGGGTTAGCCAAAAGAACCTTCTTTAGTAATGTCTGCATCCCCAAAAAGTAAGGCTTTGTGTATGGTTGGTCTAGGAATTGTATACTGTGGATTCTTGCTATAGTAACACATAATAAATCTGGAAACATACCATTCCAAAATAGCAGTTTAAAAGCAGAATTCGAAGCAAAGCTCCCAGATCTGATCTATCATTTAGGTGTTGTCTTCCATCATGACAATATTTGGTCCCACGTTTTCATAAATGTCAGATAAAGATTTATACAGTATGTTTTTAATATCTTATGTCATCCGACATATTCACCAGACCTTGCCCTTTTCAATTTTCCTCTTTTCATGTGATTTCAAAATTTTCTGAACAGCCTGGAACTCACTTCTAGATTGTCAAACAGCACCCCAGTAACTTCTTTATGAATAAACCTAATGATGTTTTAAAAGGAGGAATTTGGCAGCTGAAAAACCTGCTGAATTGATGTCAAAAAGGTCATAGAACAGAATAGTGATTAAATGAAATGTTCATGTTTCAGTACTGCTTTATTTTCATTTATCATCAAAAACTACTAAACTTTTTGGCTGACCCAATATTTATATGTACATAGATACATACACATGTACATGGTTATAAAATCTTTGACTAAAAAGCAGTGACCATGATAACATGAAAAGCTAGAAATCCTGGCAACTTTTATAGTACAATGTAACATGCACTCATAAAAAATTAAAATATGGATAGAACATGAATCATAGTTGCAATTAACTTAACCATATTTCTAAAATTTCTTGTATATATATTTTTATTTATCTTTTTAAATATTTTTTTTTTTCATGTACACATTCATTTATATTACTTATTCTGTTTTAAACTTTAAAAAATTGAAATTAGATGATTGTTCTATATGATAAATTAAATATCAGTATGAAATAAAGTATTAAAAAATATTTAGGAGATGTAATTTTCAGATTTGAAGCAGGCATTTGAAAGCTGTCAGCAGGGCTATACTGACAGTTCTTGTTTTCATTATAAGGTTCATAAAAAGATGGTTTGGGTTGGAACTGGTTTTTGAATTTATTAATTTGATATTTTCTTTCTCTACTGTCTCTGTTAATTGAAGATAAATTGCAGTTTTTTATAAATGAGATTTTCCTATTCCTCTTTTATATATATATATTCGGTCATATAAAAAGTCTCCACGTTTTTTGCCACTAGATGGTGTTGATGCCTATATATCTGGCAACACTCACCCTATTGTCTCAAATGAACATGTGCTTAAAAGCTGGCATTCAGCTTCCATTGTTTCTGAAAATAGTTTTCTAATTCATTGCACTTTGCAACTGTGCACTTTGCATTTCCATGAGGTATTCCATTCATGAAGCAGATCTTACAAGTGCAGGAGAAGTGTGGCCCTGCATCACGGTCCAGAGTCATATATTCGAACATCTTCTTTAATGATGATGAGACATCATCTTCTTAATGATGATCATTGTTTGTTTTTGTTCTTATTTGTTGGTTTCTGCTGTACTAAGCATAATAAAACATATTTTGTCTCACTGTTTGTATCCTTCCTTTATGAGGTCATTTCTTGTTTTCAATCATTTTGCCGTGCAAAATTTTTGCATTGCAACAGTTGCTGACTCTCCATCCAAATAGAACTTCACCAACAACGCTCACTCGGGTATTGATAACATTATGAAAACAAATGAGATATCCTTATGTATCGTGGTCTTGTATTGCAAGATTAGTGTGCAAAATTCTACTGAATCTCTCATGTTAGTGCCCTCTACTGGTGACATTTTTAACTAATATTTTTGCTTCTAAAAAACATCCAACTTCCTTGCGAGCCCTTTCTTTTAAACCACACTTCTTTATCATCATTTCTTCCTTTTTTATGAATTTTTAAAGTTTTGACAAACTTTTCGCTCACAGTGTGTATAATTCATTTTATTGTTGGAGCTGATAATTTGTTTAAGATATTGTTTAGTGTACATTTTAATGTATGTAAATTTAAAAAGAGTACTTTTGGACTAATCAGTTTTAATTGATTCAAAACTATTAGGACCTCCATTCAAGCAGAAATTATGCTATGACTTCCATAACTTATTCTTATAAAACTATTGTTTTAAACTAGCTGTTGGCGTTTTTTATTGCTAGCTAACTGGAGTTTCATACTGTAAAATGTTCTCATTTCCTCATTCCTTTTTAGAGATTAGAATGCCAAACATTAGCTGCTCTTCAGCAGAAAAGGAAGCAGTTGCTAGCTCAGTTAGAAAAAGCTCAGTGCACAAAACCTGCTTGTATTATTCCTTCCGAAAATGGAGCAATTCCTCCCTGCAGTGTTGAAGCATCAGTATGTATCGTGTTAATTAACTCAGTTCTGGTAAAATTGTCAGAATTATTTGTTTCTAAAAAGGATATTATTCTTCAGCAAAAAATTGAAACATTTTACTCTGAACTGCTTGGTATGATTGATATGTTTAAAGTATTTCCCTCCTTAATTTCAACATTTAGTTTTTATTCATCAGTTATTCCTGTTTTATATGATTTGTTTATTCTATATATTTATTTATACAGTTATAAGCAAAAATATCCTTTTATAACTAATTATAACTAGAAATTATGAAAACTAGATCACAGTCATCATGTCAACATAGTTCAAATACATATGGTAGTTCTGTTATTATTGTTAGAATTCTAAGAATAGCTACCATGTATCAGTACACTGGAATAAGCCTTGACAGCCCTGCAGTTTGCCATGTTTTACATATTAGCATACATTTTTATGTATGTCAATTCATGTGCATTTTTCTGTGTGGATCATGCTGTTAGAATTAAAAAGAAAATCTGGTAATTGTTTATTAGCTAGAACTTTTCACAAAAGTTCTACAACTCTTAGTGTAAGCATGTATCTGACCACAAATATTTTTTCTTCAATTCATAACAGTTTCACTAAAGATGCTTTTTTTAAGAGGAAAGCAGTTTGATGTGTTTTTTCATGCATTCAAACCAATATATATGTTGCTTATTACACAAGGTGCAATGACATTTACATAAAAAAAGTATGGCATTTTTCCTCTTGCAGTGATAGATTCATTCCATTTATTTTGCTAAAAACATTGACCAAAGACATTAGCTTGCACCTCCAGTCTTTATTTGAAATTGTCACTAATAGAGTGTTATTGTCCTTTAATGATGCTAGAACTAGAACCTCTGTATGCAGCTCCATCAAATGTGTCAACACTTTTCCTCAAGACAACTACTTCAGTTCCATGTGCAATAGAAAAGACTTGTGTGGCTTCCTATATATTCGCACATTAGTTTGAAGTGCCTGCATTTAACAGGTTATGATTTTATATAATTTCTAGTAACATCATTCAAAACTATCATAAGCTCAGAAAACACTTTTTTCCTGAGGTAATATAAGCTTCAAGGTCTCTGAAGAATTCAGTAGCTGCTGTTATACTTTCTTGTCTTATTTTTAATTTTGAAAATCGCTGCAATATTGCGATCTATATTCTATATATCTGAATTGTTTTCCAATGGTATTTCATTTGAGGAGAAAAATTCACATGAAATATTAAATATTTCAGTCCCTGATGGTGGTCAAAAAGCTATTAGCTTTTTAAGTATATTTAAGTATATCTTTGAAGTAATAGCTATTTAAGTAAAAGAAATGAACAAATATGAATTAATTTCCAGCCCAGCAAGATCAGTCTATTCATCCGTTTATAATACCAATTTGATATACATGATGTGAGTCTTAGGTATCTAACACATCATTGGCCATACTGAATCTATCTTACTTGACAAAGGGGGATGTTGGAGGCTAATTTGCAGGCTTTTTTCATCAAGATTTCTGATGACAGTATTGATTGTACAACGTTTAATGATAGCTTCTGAAATGGTATGAACTTACCAGCTGAAGCTACATGGTTTTTAATTTTGTAGGAAGGTTCCTTACGTTTTTATTATTAGGTATAGCAATTGCTGTCATACTTTTCAGAGAAGCAGAATCCTGTAGAGCTTTCTCTTGAAAAAAGTCTGGTGTCTTTCAGTTTAGGTTGGTTTCTGTTGAAACTACCTAGTAAAAAAATATGAAAAATTCTTGGTCAACATATTTTCAAAAATTACTCACAGAGGCCAAACAACATTTATTTCTGTAAAATTCTTTGCTCTTGTAACATTCTTTGTCTATCCTATTCGGAGAGAGGATCTTTGCCAAGCTGCCCCAATTCTAGCATTTTTTCAAATTGTTGACTGAATTGGTGCTGCAGACTCAGAAGTGGTTTTATTTGTGAAATGCTTGTAACAACCAGCTGTGAGTACAAGTAACTTAGCTCAAATTTCAATACTAATATGGTGTTACCTAAATTCCTATGTGAATTATCAGTATAAGAATCTCTCATTTTCTAAGTAATAAGACACAGAAGGAAACTTTGTGCTGTCTCACTACTTGTAAGGGATTAAATTAAAATATACAAACAAAAAGTGTGCTTTTCCGTTTTGCCGGCGCAGATATCGCCATGCAGACTTTGTTGGCGACAACATACAGTATACACATAAAAAATGTTAATGCTAAGAATTTTTTATTTTGAAGGCATAAACTTTTTAATATGGTTTAAAATTCCGTAAAAAGCCAATAAATAAAGACAATAAATTTGTAAAAAGACATTAAGAATTTACTATGCTTTCATGGTACAACATCCTGATTCACGTGACCAGTGGCGTAAATAAGGGTATGCAAGGAATGCCGTCGCATAGGGGGCTCTTAATTATTCTGCTGAACTACATTTACATGTTTAAACTTAAAAGTCGGATTCCATTGCATATATATATAGAAGCTTTAATTCATTTTCCTTTGATGAGTTCGGAATTAGAATTTCTATAAAAGAAGGTTAATTACTATTTTTTTATATTTTTTATCTTGTATTTTTTTCCCATTTGTTTTTCATTTTTATTTTTAGAATTTGTACTACTATAAATTCTTGTTTTAATTCTGTGTTAAACCCCTTTTACATGATTGTTAATATTAATATAGTTGAGGAATAGCCTTGATTTGACTCCATTTTACTTTTAACTTTAGAATCTTTAAGCATATGTATAATAGAATACGTTTCTTTTAAGTTTCTAAGGGCCCCTTACCTATATGGTACAGTGATGCAATTCTCTGTATGACGCAGATAGGAGGCCCTTGGAAGCACCTGAAACAACTAAATTCAAGTGTTTGCAAAAGTTAAAATTCCAGCATTTGACTATAGTAACTTTGTGACCTACCCCAGTTTAGGGATAGCAGTGAGCGGAAAATAGGAAAAGTTCCTTTGTATTTCTTAGTCTCAAACCTAAAAATTATTAAAGGCGACCCCCTAAAGGAAAGGTTTCTTCTTTTGCAATCCCAAATCAAAACGCAGTGGAAATGAAAGTTAATTGTAACTATTTATTATAAAGTACTTATTTTATATATTAATTTGTTTCTGTATAATTCGCATAATGATCGAACAATCAGTAGACATATTTCCTAAGTAGAACAATCAGTAGACATATTTCCACTCGAGGACTATTTGTAATTCATAATTTTCATAATATTTCATTCCATAGCGTTTAATTTTGTTCGTATATTGAATCTCTTACTAGCTTTTCCATTAAATGCAAGTCCAAAAAAATCAGTCCTAATATTCAATTTGAAATTGAATTTATTAATGTGAATGATTCTTACAATTTAATATAACATGTATTGCGTTGGTTCGCTATAAACAGCGCACCACTTTTCAAATTGTTGCCACCAAATAATTTCAACCTGTATTATTTTTAAAGAAATTAAATAAGAAAGAATCTGCATGTTTGAATGTATAGTTCTCACAATGTAAAAAATGATGGTACTTGCAACCTGTGCAGTCGCACAAAGAGGCAAGGTGAGGGACAGAAACACTTTGGATTTAGAAGCACGATTGACAGTACAAAATGGAAAAGTTAAAAGCGGATTGCTTTTTTTGTTCTCTGTTTTTTACACTAATAAGCTGGAGGGGGGAATCATTCATAAGTATTAATTGCTAACTCCAGATTACTTGCTTTTCTTTCTTAAGAATGCAAAATCATTGACGTAAGTTGAACAGTTGTGACATGAAAGAACTTTGCCCCACCCCCATGTCGAAATGCCATTCTAGTCCAGGAAATGCAAAGAATTTATGACACCACATTTGGAAAGGAGAGATTTCCCGTTTGGCTTAGGGATCTTTGAATGAATTCAAGGTCCGAAAAAGGAGGGAAGTTTTTACGACAGGCTATGAACACACAAATGCTCAAACATTAAGCGGCCAAATATTTCAGTTAATTTCCGGCGTAAATTCGAAATTCATTACTTCTTCATTCATGGGGAAAGGAAAGGGAATGGATGAATATTTTTACTTGAAATAATGAGTAAATAAATATTTATCCAATTTTTCATATCAGAATTTTCAAAATATTCTGACATTGCAGATAAAATGCAGGTTAGAAATTCTTTAAAATCCCAAATTGAGAATTAAATCTGAAGGCACAGAACTCGTTTGAGGATTTACTTGATTTGCATTAGAAAAGAGAAGAGCTGTGGTGTGTCTCAACCTGTAAATTACCCATCTACCGAAAATTCACACTTATCTGTAAAAGATAATTCTGAAGACATTAAATTTGTTTTGAAAGTAATATATTAATCTCCTTTCGTTTGAAAAAAATATAATAAATTACAATTTATTTTAACAACGTGAAACATTTAAGCGTATAATTGAGTAATGCGCAATAATTTGTACGTTATTTAAACGGAACTGAATTGAATTATTATATAAAGCACTCGAGTACTATTTGCCTAAGGGGAACAACGACTTCGTGGAGTACTTTCAAACCATTATTTGAAATGAAATTTTACAATTTACTTTACTTTTGCTTTTAATTTACTTCCCACAGCATTCAGTACTTGAAATCATCAATAATAGTATAATAATGATAGTAAAAATGCCATCACACAACTAAAAGTATATACAGTCAAAAGTCGTTAATTCGGACACCCATAATCCGGAATGATCTATAATCTGGACCTCAAAGCTACAAACCTTCTGCATATTTCTTTTACGGCTGCGAATCTGCGTGTGCACATGCATGTAATACGTTTATGTTTGCGCGTTTAATGTATAACGGACGATATAAGCTAAGCTAAAATTATCTACTTCAGTTAATGTTGCAGATTGCGTTGTTCCTTAATCTTCGAATTCGATCGGGCTTATTATTTTTTCCAGACGGTTAGAGCAATTTTATAAAAGTAAGCTTGAACTTTCGATTATGTCAAATAGAATTTCCAATATATATTTACTAATATCTAAA